ACTACACCTACTTTGGAGGGAGTTGATGAGAAGGGTGAAGGGGTTTGGAGATGAGTCGAATATCATCCTCCTCACATAGGAGCCCGAGTGTTCTGCTATAATGAATGAGATGCAATAGTGAGTTTGAGAAATATTCTTTTTGTTTTATACAGAGTATGCCCTCAGGAGACAGAACAACACTGGGACAGACTGGTTGGGATCAGCCGTAGGCACAGTGTAGGCATATAGGACAGGGAATGAGAATAATGACTGCATGAGAAAAGAACACCAGGAGTCCCTCAGGGGAGAGGTGAGACCTGAATCACAATTTGAGGAACTTGTTCCAACCAGGGGATCAAGGAAAAAAAACTTATGTATGAGATTTTTTTTCATTGAGATATAATTCAAATACCATAAATTTACCCTTTAAAGTCTACAATCCAGAAGTTTTTAGTGTTTTCATAAGGTTATGCACCATCAAATTCCAGAACATTTTCATTACCCCAGAAAGAAAGTGCTTACCCATTAGAAGTCACTCCTCATTCCCTTTCCCCCAGCCCCTAACAACCACTAATCTGCTTTTGCCTTTATGGATTTGCCCATTCTGGACATTTCATATAAATGGAATCATACAATAAGTGGCCTTTTGTACCTAGCTTCCTTCATTTAGCATAGTGTTTTCAAGATTCGTCTATGTTGTACCTTGTATCAATAATTCATTCCTTCTTAGGACTGAATAATATTCCATTATATGGATATACCGTATTTTGTTTACCTATTCATCAGTTGATGGACATTTGGGTTTTTCCCATTTTTTGACTCTTATGAATAATGGTACTATGAACATTTTTGTACAGGCTCTCATGTAGACATATGTTTCCAAGTCTCTTGGGCGTAAAACTGAGAGTAGAGCCACTGGGTCATATGATAACTGTATGTTTAACATTTTGAGGAACTGCCAAACTGTTTTCCAAAGCAGCTGCACCATGTTACAATTCCATCAGCAATGTATGAAGATTCCAATTTTTCCACATCTCCACCAACACTTATTATTGTCTGTAATTTTTATTACACCCATCCTAGTGAGTTTAAAGTGGTGTCTCTTGGTTTTGATTTGCATTTCCCTAATAGCTAGTGATGTTGGCCATCTTTTCATGTGCTTATTGGACATTTGTATATCTTCTTTGGAGAAATGTCTATTCAAATCCTATGTTCATTTTTAATTGGGTTATTTGCCTTTTTATTGTTGATTTATAAAAGTTCTTTATATAGTCTATATACTAGACCGTTATCAGATATATGATTTGTAAATATTTTCTCCTATTCTTTGGGTTTTCTTTTCACTCTATTAATAGTGTCTTCTGAAGCACAAATGTTTTTATTTCGATGAAGTCTAATTTATCTATTTTTTCTTTCATTACTTGTGCTTAAGGTGTCACATCTAAGAAACCATTGCTTAATCCCAAGGTCATTAAGATTTACATCTATGTTTTCTTCTGAGTTTTATCATTTTAGCCCTTGCATTTAGGTCTTTGATCCATTTTAAATTAGTTTTTGCATATGACGTGAGGTAGGGATCCAACTCCATGAGATTTTGCTAGATTCAGCTGATCAACTCAGGATGTTCAAACACTCCGAGGAATGGACTCAAGGAGCTGTCCCTGGAGGAAGAAGAAGATTGCTTTCTCCTAGGATTTGGTGCTGAATGAGCCTGTTGTCCTGATGGTTTAAACAGAAAAATGTGTATCAATTAGGTTTATGTATTGAACTGAACCCAGTCAGATTCTATAACCATGAGGAATATATACAGTGCAAATTCTCACACTCTAATGAAGGAGATTTCACCTTCCAAAGAGTAAGTTGATGATATGATGGTTTGGAAATCTGCTAAAGATGGCCTCTATCCAGCAGTGAAGCAGGAGGCTGTCGTCCTTTGGTTACTATGATCAGAGGGATACCTTCATACTTTGGTGCTGATAATGTGACAAACCTGGGGAGCACCACTGGCATGGAACAAGGAAAGGAATTAGGGAAAATAAGCTGGCCGCTCACAGAATTAAGGATGGTGTAGGAAAATTCCCTTTGTGGCATGTGATTGTTTACTGAAAATGTTGTCTTTTGTCCTTACCTCATACCCCTCAGCTAACATTTATTAACCCCCGTTCGCCCTGGTCTCTTACATTTCTGCATGTCTACTGAACAGAGATATTGACAGCCCCAGCCAATAACTGTCAGTATTGCTTTAGCTCAAAATAACCCCACAGATTTTGATCCCCTGTGGAGTAGTGCTGCCCCTTTTTAGAACCACCTATTTTGACATTTATTTTTTCAAGATGTTTATTTTTCTTTATGTCTCCATCATTTAACATAGTGCCTAGAATATAACTGGTGCTCAGCATGTTTACTGAAATCTCTGCTTGCTCTTCCTTCAATTATGTTGCAGTTGAGAAAAAAGACAATTGTATCATTCAATGGATACAACTTTTTAAAAATTGGCTTGCATTAGCTCTTTTAATTCTCCCAACAGCTTTGTGAGGTTGCTTATCATTATCCCCATAACAAATGAAGAAACTGAGGTGCAGAGTGGTGAGGGTAGAGGCCGTGGCATCCACACCCTGCTTGTCTCACTCCCAAGTCTGCACCACTTATCATCTGGCTCATTCACGCCGGAGCAGATGAGGGTTGGTTGGGAATGAGATGACTGAACTAGACACATGGACCACTTCCGCTGGCTGAATCCTCCAGAACATTTTTCTGGCTCACACAAGCACAGTCTATTTATTTCCAGTTGTTTCTTTCATCTTATCAAGCGATGGTTTAATGCTGTCTGCATTGTTGCAAAGTACCAGAGCATTTATAGAATTCAGCAGCCATTTCCAAATTCAGAGTACTTCTCATTTACTGAATAATATGTCCTTAATGACTGGCCACCTTAAGCTGGTTTTCAAAAAATGGTACTGTTTACTGCCAACTGTATCCCACAATAATGGACAAAAATAAAGTTTTATTTTATTATTTTATTTTTTGGTAATTCAAGACCTGTCTCTGTGGGGAGTACATAGCTTCCTTGACACTTCGTACTTCAAGCAACTGAATTACTTCCCAGCCGGGAAGGCGGCCAAATCTCTAAACTGACATGTTCACTGAATAATAAATTTCATGTGCGAGAATGATGCCAGGCGCAAGAGGATTTGATAAAAGGGCATTTGAACCCTACCAAGGATATAAAACATTTCCCTTCATAAGAAACTTGAATAAATTGTTCAATAGAAGACTGTGTGAGAAGTTTTGTGCTCATTTCAGCTTCTACTACACATTTCGGTGAATAGATTATTCTGGCAGTATGGCAGCAGTAGGCTAAACATTAGATAATTCCATGTGAAATGTTTCTACTGGCTGAGCCCCTCTGCCCTGCGCCCCATTTGAAATGTCCTACAGACCTCTGGAGATTCTCTGAGCTCCAGGCTTGGACTGGTGAGCCTACTCCGTGATCCTGAAGCTGACTGACTCACTGCTTTATAAACGCATGGTGTCCCTTTCCTGACTAGGTTTGGATCAAACAGGTGCTTGTTTTTCTATCTGACATTCAGGATCTGACAGCGCAGATCCTTTGGGTGGAGTTTGCATGGATCAGATGCATTCTCCTAGCACTGCTGAGACCTATTTAAAAACTTGCGCAGCACCATACAAGACCACTAGGGCATAGGTTCTGTGTTCGGAAATAGCACATTCATTGTTTTTCCTTCCTGAATACAGTTTTCTTTAGAAACAATACTAATCTCACCAATTTTAAATAGATTTTCAGGTCTTCAAAAGGAGAAAAGCAACAATCTCTTACTCCAAGTGGTTGAATAAAACTCTTGGATGTTTTGAACACTAAAGCCATTTTAATAATGTTATCATTTTTATGCAGGCCCTATCTAAATAGGGTGTTATGACTATGCCTTTAAAATGATGAAAACAGAAAATTTAATCTTTCCCTAAAATTCTGTGTACGTCTTGCAGCTGTCATTGCTTATTTTTCACAGTACATGGTCACATTCCTAACTGGATAGTTTTATTCCAAACAAGCAGTAATCTCAGTATAGTCAGGCTCCCTAATTTAATAGATTAGGACTCGCAGCTGTACTCAGAGGTGTATTTAGAAGATATATCCTTTAACAGGGAATAGATGGTGGTGTCATTGTCTTGAAGAGATTACAAATGTATAAACCACAGTAGGCTTGGAAAGACCTGGGAGAAAAATTTGGGCCACAACCACTTTGCGCTTTTAAACCTGACACACATCCCAGTGTGCCATATCTTCAGTGTCAGAGCGGTCGATTATAAACAAGCTGTCCTATAGACAGAGTCTGCTTCTCTATTGAATGGCAAGCTGAAATTATCAATAACTGTCTTCTGCCTTTAATTCAGGGTCTTCTCAGTTTGGTGAGGCCTCAGGTTTTCAAAGAAAAAGCTTTCATGAATTTCTAAGAGATTCTCTGTCTCCATGCTCCCCACCCCTCTACCTTCTTCCCAAGCCTCTTATTCTAAAAGTAAAATTAGCTAGGTTTCAGGGGGTTCTGAATCAGCTTCTTGGACTATTGATACATGTATGTATTCTTATTCTCCCTTCTCCTGGGTCACTCACACTGTTTTTTAAACAAGGGTTGCTCATTCTCTGTGAGTTATCAAGTAAATGTTTATCATATACCTATACAGTTACGCATCCACATAAGCAAAATGTGTGTGTGTGACTGTGTGCATCCGTGTAAGATCTTCGGAGGAGTGAGGCTGCTTATGGCTCTTGTGGAGCCCCTTGCACAGGGGATTTGAGTGACAGACTTTTCTACAGTGACTAAAGGGAGCTCTTTTCCACATCCATTCCCAGAAGAGTACTTTTCAAGCCACTCACTGAGAGTCAGGTGAAGTTCTAAAGCAGATGATGGCATTAGGATTGGTTGACAATTGCAAATGGTGGGGGGCGGGGGTCCATCCATTTTTTATGAAGTTCTAATTAACACACTGTCTGCCTCCCACAGGTTCAACCTTTGGGAATGAAGACCAGCCGGCTCTGAAGGCAGCTCTGCCTTCCAAAGACGCACCCAAGGGGGCCAGCCGGGCAGCCCCTCCAGCATCCTCCAGTGTGACGACACCCCGCAGGAGTTTGCTTCCGGCGCCAAAATCCACATCCACACCCACTGGTAAGACGTTCTGCCTTGGAGAAGCTCCAAAGTGGAGTGCCCTTTCTGCGTTAAAATGTCTTTTGAAAGTCCCTGTGTAGATCAGTTATTTAGAAGGAATAATAGATTAGTTTTGAATGGCATTTAAAGTAAATAATAGTGATACTACTATTTTCAAGGCACTTTCATATATTCTTATATTTAAGTTCTCACAACTGCCTCTCACTCCTCCCCTGACTACTGGTGACCTGTTGAATCACAGTTTCGATTGCAAAAAAAACAAGAATCAAGTTATTTTAGGCAGATTAGCGTTTGGCTCAGGGAAGCAGGCACTGATGAAATCATTGGAAGGACTGTAGCAGCAAGCTCCAGACTGTGCCTCCAGGATGAGTGTCAGCACCCCATGGGGAGCTGCTGCCTCTTCAAAGGTCTGGGAGCTCCATTCCCCTTGCTGGCTCCAGGCTTGTACCACCAAAGCTGGGGTCCAGGGATCAACAGCTACCTCAGAAGGGCTAGCTCCAGAGCCCCACTGCCTGCTAGATCCACACCAGCTAGATGGATGCCCTGTGTTCTGCCCCTCCACGCCCATGAAGCTAGTGACCAGACGTGGGCAACTCAACGGATGCAAAAGTGTGACAAGTGAAAGTGCTTGTCAGCAGAAACTGCCAAAGCAGCCCAAGTGGGCCTTGCCCCACTTTCTCCTCCCACATCTCACACAAAGGCGTCTGTTTGCCTGTAGGGATGTCCAAGCATGACATTCTTAGCTTTCCATCTTCTGCACTATAGGAAGGCACACTAAGAGGAAGAGAATGAGTGTTGAGCCCTAATCCACTATAGATGGCTCACCTATATTGGTATTTATTCCTCCATATTTTTCCTCTATGCTCATGTATGGTCACGTGCCGCATGACAATGTTTTGGTCAACAATGGACTGTATATAGGATGGTGGTCCCATAAGATAGTACCATATAGCCTAGGTGTGTAGTAGGCTACACCATCTATGTTTGTGTAAGTACACTCTATCGTGTTCACACAATGACAAAATCACCTAACAACTCGTTTTTCAGAACATGTCCCCGTCATTAAGCAACACGACTGTAATCATATACCAATGTATATACACATACATACATATGTGCTTGTATGAATTTCTAAAAATAAGATTACATGATGCCTGTTTTTCTGCGTGTTGCTTTCCTTACTCAAAGTACGTGATAGAAATAAATACCTTCAAGTCAGTGATATGGCTCATTCTTTTCAGTGGCTACCTGGTGTGGCTATACCATGATTTATTCAGCCATTTCCCACTGATGGGCATTCACTTTATAACTAGTATTTGCCACTATAAACAATACTGTGGTAAAAAAAAGAGTTTGAATATCAATAAGATTCATAACTGCTGCAGTGGATTAATACTCACCAAAATATGTGAATGTTCATGAGAGCATGATGATACAAAAAGCAAGTCACTTTGGAGGATGCTGGGAAACTACCTATTATTTTGAAATCTGGTAAGGAAAGCACTGAATAAAACATTTTAGCTCCTTCTCCTATTAAGTCTCTACCTCAAGATAGCCAAATAGTTAATGAGGGGAAGTTTCTCTTTATAAAAATATTCTAGCTAATAAATAAAATATGATAGACATCACCTTTTTCCCAGCTTCTAATGAATCAGTGGATGAAGGCAGTCATGGTCAACTGAAAGAGACAACCAGACATTATGAACTGTACTGATGGAAATATATACAACGTTATAAGTGAATTAGTCTTAGGGGGCAAAAATGAATCTGTTCTAGCCTCTAGATTTAACTACTAATTTACTGGAAATACAAAGGACAGAGAAGCATATTAAATAACACCATGAGAGCAGAATCAGCAAACCAAGACTCTGGAAGACTTTGTAGGACAAACCGGCTGATCTACTCAACAATAGCAGCAACAACAAGGTTGCAAAAGTCAAAAGGCAAACAAACAAACAATTTGGGGGGAGAAAAGGAGATGGAGGGGGACCTGTAGATTATCAAGGACTTAGACATATCAGCCAATTGCAAAGTATGGATCTTATTTTGGAATTTAATTCAAACACACACACCAAAAAAAAAAGATTTGGAAGATAACTGAGGAAATGGGAACATTGGTTATTAGATGATGTTAAGGAGCTACTGTTAATATTTTGAGCATGATGGTAGTATTTGTGTTTTTTAAAAAGTCGTATTTTAGAAATTCATTTATATGAAATGGTGTGCTATCTGGGATTTGCTTCAAAATAACCCAGGATGGTGGCAAGCACAGTTGATGTGTTATAGAACAGGAAACAACATAGGCCACACATTGCTTGTTGTTGGAGCTGGGTATTGGAACACATTAAGTTAACTAGATTAGTCTCTCTGCTTTAGTGTGTGTTTAAAGTGGTACATAATAACATGGTAAAATGTGTCAAGACAGTGGCTGTTTTTGTGGAGGTAGAGTTAAGTGGAAATAAGGTATTTCAGGTGTGGAGAAGAGAGGGAAAAGCAAGCAAAAGTGTTTAAGACCATAAAAATTTCATTATTTTCCCAGGTATTTCTGCTACATAGGGAATTTTTGAAAGCTATGCAATTTTGATAGCAAGAATTCTCTTCCAGTTTGTTACTTCATAAAACACTTTAACATAGTCTAATTTGATCCTCACAAAATGCTGAGAGGTAGGCAGGGAAAGTATTGTTTTACAGATGGGGAAACCAAGACTCAGAGGTGAAATGACTTGTCCAGGGTCATGTGGTGGCATCAGGAAGCAAATATATATTGTGTGTGTTTCCAGCGCTTTTTCAATAAAATGATTATAAATATCCAGCTGGGGAGTATCAGAATCCTCTCTGTGGGCTACAGTGTGTCTGTTACCATCAGATTTCATGTGCATGAACTGGGGAGGGTGGTAAACAAAATGGTGCCCAAGATTTCTTGCCTCAGGCTAGGCCCTTCTGAGATCACCTGGTTAGGAGTTCACCTGGTGTTGCCATGACCTCTGTGTGGTCTTTCCTTGGCTGAGCATACCCCACACACAGTCTGCAGGTATTCCTTAAAAGTCTAAATAATGCCCAAAGAGAAGTAAGAGGCTTTCCCTAGAAACTGAGATTATATGTGTGTGAAAACATTCATCCAGCCCTCCCGCAATGGGAACACATATGTTATTTTCTCCAGAGGCGAAGTTTAAGTCTGTGCTTGCTTGTTCCTTCTTATGATGAGCTATCACTTTGTTTATTGAAAACTCAAGTAAACACTCCTTCAAGCTGTCCTACAAAGCATCTAGTACATCTGCTGGACTTGTTTTTCTAGATAAAAATTTTATGATGGTAATAATTACTTCCTCTCCCATTCCAGACCAAAGCACGTTGTGTAGTTGCTCTTCCTTCACTAATTCAGTGGCCAGGTCACTGAGTGCGCTGGGGGATGGAATGTTCTGGAGAAGATAGATGAATGAGACACAGTTTGTTTCCCCCAAAGGATTCACAGGCTGATGGTCAAGAAGCACAACAAAATAATCATTGAAAAGTTGATAAGTGTTATAATAAGCTACTTATTATACAGCCTAATCTGTGTAGCGCCTGGTGAGGAATGGCTGGAGGTTCCTCACTTAGGCGACTGGGTGGCTAATACTGCCCTGACTAATAGACTGGAGGCCAAAGGAGGACAAGTTTAGAGGAAAGATGATAAATTTAGTTTTGGATGAGATGATTTGGAGGTGCTTGGGAAGCACCCAGATAACGATATCCAGTAAGCAGCTGGAAATAAGAAGCCTGGCGCTCTAAGGAAAGTTTTGGCTTGGAGATTTAGATTTGGGAGTCGGTAGCTTATAGTCACTGCTCTGGGCATTGAAGCTACGAGTGTGTGAGTTCCTGTGGAAGGATGTAGAGCATGCACAGGAAGAAAGGTCCGAGAGCAGACCCCTGGTAACACCAAATGGAGGTGCTGACAGAGAGGCCCGTCCGAGGAAACAGGGCCTTCAGAGCACAGAGGGGTGAAGGGCAGCTGAGGAAGTGGAAGCCATGGGTGCAGATGGTTCTTTGTTGAAATGGAAAGACAAAGGGAAGGAAAACAGGCTGGTCACTTGAAGGGGAAGCGCAAAGGAAGTTCTTGTTGTTTAGAATGAGTGAAACTTAACCTTCCTGTTTAGAAGCATCAAGAAAAGAAGGAGGGGCTAAAGGTGAGAAAAGCTGATAGGGGTTGGCTGAGGTCTGCTAGGTGGTGGGGTGGCACTGCGGAGGGAGGTCGCGCCTGGTCCTGGAAAGAAGCGCACTTTCTCTTTGAGACCAGAGGAAATGATTGAGCCTGCATTGCCTACGTCGCCAGCTGGTTCATTACTGACGATGTCAGAAGAGCAGTGCGGCCTAATCCATAATCAAGGAGTAGCGTCTACACCTGGTCTCAGTATTTCAGATGCTGCTTTTTAAGAGGAGAGCATAAAATACTGCAAAAAAAGCCCCATTGGTTCTTTGTCCTAATGGTTAGTTTACATCAGTGCTTCTAAATAAATGCAGGTAGAATGTGGGGATGGGGAGGGGGAGGAGAGGGCAAGGTGCCAGTTTTTTAAAAAACAAATATGTTTTCCTATTTGTGTATAGTAAATTAAAGTACCCCACCCCCTTTTTTTCCTACTGCATAGCTGTGGAAGGTTTTGGTATGGGGTTCGTGATGCTTGTCTAACTCGAGGACTGAGCAGTAATTGAAGCATATAATATGAACCTTTTAGTTTTTGCATATATGAGCCTAAATAGCCTTTCCCAGCAAAGCACAAGTGTGGACTAAAGGACAGGGGTGGGAAATGCGTTCCACTCCTGGCCAGGAGTCTGGGTGGGCACCTGTCCCAGCTCCATCCGTCCAGCCATTTGACCTGGGGCAAATCAGCAGTAAGGGAATCTTTTTTTATATTTCTCGTTGGTTAAAAAAAAAAACTGGGAGGATTATAGTACATACTCCATGGGATTGTTTTCAGAATTAAAATAAATGAAAGGTCGTAGAACAGAGGAGGTATTTAATAAAT